CCATTTCCCCCCTGCTCGGGTCCTGACCCAATTGTACAGCGCCTTGGGACGTCCTCCCGACGTGAAAAGCGCTCTATAAATGGAATCTTGTTGTTGTTGTTGATGCACAGTGCAACCATATTCTAAACAAAAGTGCCTCATGATAGATCTGTGCTCTTTGTAGAGCAAAATAATGCATTAAAATATTTCAGATGTTCCCATTTATCATAAAATCCCTCCGAATGCCTTCAACACATCATTGACTCAGATTGCATGTCAGCCGAGCTCAACTGGTAGCAATTCTCACCCCTGAGTCAAAAGCTGTGGGTTTGAGCTCCACATTGGGATTTGAAATTCATGTAGTCTAAGATGACACTGCAATGCAGTGTCGGGGGTGTGTTGGAAATGCCGTACCAAACCAAGGCCCCCTCTGCTTGTACGGGTGGACATCAAAGATTTCATTGCACTATTCGAAAAGAGAAAGGAGTTTCTATTGGAGCATTGGCAAACAATCCCCGCAATACTACATCCTGCAGAACAATATTTTTATTATAATCAGCAAAATATTGCATGAGAGGGGGGGTGAGGAGGGGAAGCACGGGAGAGGAAAAGAGAATGTGACTGGTGACGTGATATCACCGGTTATCATATTGCAATTCACATGGTCATTTATTACATGAGTATATGTGGAATATTGGTGCGCACAAATTGGCTGCCAAGTTTGCCCACAAAATACAGTGGTTCCACTTTACAGGAAATTCTGTAAATCACTTTATCTGAAATGCTCTGTACTGAAAGTCAAGATTGATATTAATATACAAAGGGGCATCTCTTTTGATGTGTGGCATGTTGTCAAGTGTTTCACTCGAGTGGGTAACAGCTTGTACTTAACAATATACCAATCAGAAATTCATGAGCAATAAAGGACTCAGTAAAGTCCAACAATTAATGGATTTGATGAATCCTGAGTTTACATGGAACGGTCTTATAACACATTGTTGTGTTTGTGGATGAGTAATTGAAGGCAATAGGCATTAGGATTGTATTTTCATTTACACAATGGATATTATATTGTTGTAGATTTAGATCTGACAAGTTGACAGATCATTATTTAGTAAATATTTTATCATAAGTTTAAGTAACGGACTGGCTGACATATCTAAATAGAATAATTGAGTAAATCATTCAAATTAGTCAACCAGAGCTATTCACTGTCAACAGTTCAGGTAATTACTGCCTGTGCACAGATTGCGCCAGTGTGTATTGTGCTTGAGTCAATTATTTGTATTTGAACTTTATTTAAGACAGCTTATATTGTCATGTGTTATCAAATATCTGTCATGTTTGTATCGCTTAATTGGATAAGTATTAATTAAAAAAAAGCTTTAATTAAATTTTTACAAATTTTAGGAACAATGCAAACAACTCAATCATTTACCTGAAAACCGACTGCATTCTGCAAAAAGGGATGAAAAGTGCAATGTGAAGTAATAATTATCATTAGTCATGATTTTCAAAAATTGTGGATGAACTTTTGATAATTGAAGACTAGCCACCATGTAAAGCTTGTGCCCCCACTACCCACAACCCCTCCCCAACTTTGCCATAATATGCGCTCTCAAAACAGCCAGAAGCTTTCAGCGGTCAGCTTTGCAATTGCCGCCCAGAGAGCATGATGTTTAAGTGATGTTTTCAGGAATCCCAGCCAAAATTGGTTTGAGTGTGAGGCAGCAATAAACAAAGCAGATAGGATGCTGGTCTATTTTACTAAACTAGTTGAGTTTAAATCTCCAGATGCCCTACGCAGTGCTCTGGTCAGTCCGGACTTTGAGACCGCACAGTTCTGGTCACCACGACCTCAGGAGCTGCCCAGCTCAAGAGACAGTGGAGAGGAGAGCAACGCGGTTGATCTTCAGTGTTAGATGAAGGAGCTGTGAGCAATGATTAAGCAAGCTAGGGCTCTTCAGTCTTGACCAAAGATGACTCAAGGTGAACTCATATAGGTGTACAATATTTTAAATTGGATTGAAAAAGTAAATCCAGAACACTATTCTAGGATGTTACAAGACAGTAGAACATGAGGACATAGGTTTAGAGTTGTAAAAAAGAATTTTAGGACAGATACTAGGACATTTTTATTTATTCAGAGGATAATCAACAACTGGAACAGGTTGCCAGAAAAGGTGGCAGAGGTCAGGGCATTCAACACACGCAAAAAGCAGATTCATGCTGTGAATAGATGGATGAGATTGGATGAGCCGAAGGGCTTTCTTTATGCAAAGCAATCTTTTGATTTTGTGAAGCTGATGTCCCATGAAGTAGCACACTTTGCTTTGCACCCAAAATGATTGACTTTCACATTCATTGTCAAAGTTGCACATTATTTGGATGTGGTTATTGCAGTTTCAGATGTTATTTGCTCAATTGCTTCCTTTGGTATTACAGTCCCCCCTTCCATCCACCCCCTTTATTTGTGTAGCAATTTATTATGTGGGTATTTCTATTTCACAAAGAACCATAATTATAGAAATCATTGCTTCACAACTATTCCTATTTTTTCTCTATAAAACAATTATACCCCCAAATGCAGTTTTGTATCTTTGAAACAAAAACATTATTTTTCTAACTTATTTTGCAGGTAGTGTGATTTTAAACAGGGGGTGTGGAGGTGTAATTCGACCCATAGCAGAAGTCTCTAGGCTTAGTAGAAAACCACTAATTAGATTAAGATTGTCCTCAGATAATTGTCTGCGTTGGCAGAAAACCTGCAGAACAATATTTCTATTATAACCAGCAAAATGTGGGGATGGGGGGTGGGGAGCCACGGGGGAGAAGAAGAGAATGTGACTGGTGATATGATATCACCGGTTACATATTGCAAATCACGTGGTCTACGTGACTGAGATTGGCAAAGATTAAACCAGATTTCTACCCAATTTTCAATTTCTCAATCGGCACAAAACTATCACAGAGATTCTGCCAATGTCTTGGAAAATTATCCAAACAGTGATCTCTAGTATTTTCTTTGCACATTTTCTTCTGATCAGTAAATTCAATTTGTGTCGCTGGTGATACTTTTGAGAATGTATTTGTTTTGTTGAAATGTATGACTGCCAACTCTCTATCTGAGTTCTAAACTCATGGGATCTTTGCATTTTCAGATTATGTTATCAGTTTAAATTGTATTGAGTTCCCAAAATGAAAGAGATACAGTGTTACTGCCATGCAGAAATGGCTAATTTTTAACTCAGAAGATTATGCAGTCAATTAGTTGTGGGTGCTGTCAATTACATAATTTCTTTATTAGCCGAATGCAGGACAGATATTTCCAGAAAGTTGACATTTATGTTGTACTCTTTTTTTATTAATAAAGAGTCCTGTAGCTCAAAGGTTAGAACACTGGCCTCACAAGCGAGAGAGCTAGGTTTGATGCCCGGCAGGGCAAAACCTCGGGCAAGTTTCCTTACTCCACACGCCTGATAATAATCCCTCAAAAAAAAACAATAATAAATTGGTCACTTCAATCCATGACTGTTTGTGGGACACTGCTGTGTACAATTGGCTGCCGAGTTTCACCCACAAACATACAGTCAATTCACTTTACAATATATTCTGTGAAGTGCTTTGAGACGTCTCGAAGACGTGAAAAGCGATATATCAAAGGCAAAGATTATCATTACTATATATTATAAGATATTGTTCTGAAATAATACAGAACTCTTACTAGTTGATATTATGTTTTACTGGAAGAGTAAAAAGGATCGGTTGGCTTGTTAACACAGTGGGTTCAAAACAGATATGTTGAAAATATATTGGCTCCTTATTTGACAAACAGGAATGGTGCATTGAGATCTGAATGGCATTACAAATGCCAGCAAGAGCAGAATTGCTATGCTAGTCTTTTCTTTTGCTGTCAATCAATTAACCTTTCATACATGAGACTGGAATCAAAGATTGATTGTTGCTCTCAGGCAGTGTGTTTTTTACTCTGATAATCCTCTGTAAGACTAAGAAACAAAAGAAAGGTTTTCCCTTAGATCACTGATAATTTGGCCCTTGTGGAATATGCAGAATGAAATCATCTTTATTAATTTAATTCTCCATAGTCTTGCTGGCATAACAAGCAAATTTAAAGTCATGATTTCTGCAATGTTTCAGCCTTTCTCCAAATGAACAAGTCAAATTTACATTCATGTGAATGAAAAGATAATTGTGATCCTATGCAATATTACTGTGAACTGTATTAAATGGCTTTATTCATTGTTTTTCAAAAGAAAATCTGTAATTGTAGGAAGTCAGAAGTAATTCAGCGAATGCTGGAAATTGACACTCACTAAAACCAGCCTTTGGCAGAGAAAGTGAGGTCAATGTTTCAGGTGTGGTGCTTCATTATCATATCTCAAATATTGGTTTATCATTCTCTGTCTGGTACTGACTGACCTGCTGACCTGATCTTGTGCATTTTCTGTTTCATAAGGGGTTGACAGCCAAGTCACAGTGACAGCCTAGCCTGTTCAGATGGCTATTAAAAATTCAATCGCACGATTCAGAAAGAGAAGAGAGTTTCATCCAGTGTCCTAGCCTACAACCTGCCAAAATAAAATGAGTTCTCAATACTCAATACAAGCAGATCGTAATTTAAATGGTAATTGTCACTCACCTCATGGCTTTGTGGGATATTGTTGTATGCAAATTGGCTGCCTTGTTTGCTTACAAAATAACAGTATCTACACAATCCAATAAAATCCTGTAAAGATTTTTGAGACACCTTGATGATGTGATATGGCACTATATCAAATGGAAGATTGATTATACAATCCTCACTGCTCATTGGTAAAATTGCTGACCTTTTTTCTGTGAGATCATAATGAATTTTGCTGTTGTAAGACCACAACATCTGTAATTATAATGAAAAATAGAGTAAATATGGAATGGTAAATTTATTAATTGCACTCTAAATATTTATATTTAGTAGTTTTACACAACATTAATGCAAAAATATTATTTTGTTAACCAAACAGGTATTCAATTGACCGAAGCACTGACCAAGAAAAGTACTTTACTATCGATGACGTTGAAGGCACAATTGCTACAAATGAAATTCTGGACAGAGAGGATGTTTCTCAGTACAGCATCTCTGTTATAGCACAGAAACTCAGTAAGTATTGAACTGTGAGTCAGACGCAAATGACCAGGCAGACTAACAACCAATTCCATGGGAGATGAGGGGTCTTTAAAATAAGTGTGTAGCTCATTGAGCAAACAGATTCACAGTGAAAGAAAAATTAAATAATGACTGCTTCCATTGAATTCAGATAGAGATGTATTTACTGTGGTTGGCGCAGTGAAAGTTTGGATATAGTATATTTCTATGTTATTCAGCATGACACACAATGATTTCTATTGACTTTGACTGAAGATTGGTATCAGTGCTGTTGGCAGGATACATTTCATATTAATTTGACACAAGAAGAAGAATGTCCCCTGCTGCCTTTGTTAAATTCTTTATTCTGAATTGTGCCTGAATAATAATAATACAAGTTCATCATTTCGCTTTGTAAAATGAGTTGAAATTAGATTAATATTTTAGCAATCTGGGAAATTGCTTGCATGCAACTTGATTCAACCTCATATTTTGTAATCACATCCTGTATGGGTATTGAAATAAAATAAACCACAGCACAAACATAGTTTAACTCTTTCAGTGGCATTTACTTAGAAAGAGTTTTGCAGGATTTGTCACCAATGGGTACAAGTTGTGAAACACAGGTAATTTGTTTTGGTTTCCACAAGTCAGTTGGAAGAATTCAAAGACCCATTGCTTTAATAATACTGAGTTCCCAATAGCAAGACTGTGCTAGATTTTATAAGTTGAATGAATGTTATGCAGTGCATCCTGTTTCTAATTGTCATCTGGCTTTATGCCTTTCTGTCACTATTCCTCACACTAACAATTTCTCAGTATCTTGCATCTTGTATTATCTAACTTGACACTTAAACTAACACTATAATGACTTGTTTATTTTCCATTTTTCCAAGTAGTTACACATATTACAGTGCACTATTATATTAATAGAATTTTTTCATTTTTCTCATTTCATAAGTTGACACACAGCACAAGGCACGGGATCACAGCCTGAAGTCTCTCCCTTATCCATGTGGAAATCAACTCCTCGATGCAGTACGTGCATTTGAGGACCTGTGTGGATAAAATACAGCTTGCCTGTTTCCACTGGTCCAAAAAGCACTCTTTCTGGCTAATTTGATTGAGTAATAACAACTACAACTTGCATTTATATAGTGCCTTTCATGTCAAGAGGATTCTCCAGGGCATTGGATAGTCATGGGTTTGCACTCGAGCTGGGAGTTGGCATCAAGAGTGATGGAGGGCAAGGGAGGGGAGGGTTGGGGTGATGTCCAAATGCACAGTCAAGGAGAAAGGTCTTGAGATGGGTCTTGAAGGAGGCAAGGGAGGGGGTGAAGTGAAGGGTCTCCCGGATGGAGTTCCAGAGCCACAAATTCTGAAGGTCCGACCTCTAACAGCCTCCTGAAAGTGTGTGAAATAAAGTGAAACCTCCATAAATGATTTATCATTCAAACAAGAATTAAATCAGAAACAGTTCTGACGAAGGGTCGTGGACTTGAAATGTTGCCTCACTTTCCTTTCTCCATAGATGCTGCCTGACTTTACTGAGCGTTTCCAGCGACCTCTGTTTTGTTTTCAGATTTCCAGCATTTGCAGTATTTTGTGTTTTTTCTTTTTTGTTCTTCTTAAGAATTAAATCAACGTTTCCTGAAAAAAATTGCTCAATTCAATAAGTAAATCATTGAGTCCCTTTTTAAAGCTTTTTAAAGATCTTGGTTTCCTCTTTGATGAGTGCTTAACTCTCCTCTCAATTCCTGTTGATCCCAGGTCCACCAATTTCCAGAAAATGTTCATTAAGAATCATTGGGCTGTGCTAAACGATACATTGCAGGGAATCTTTATTAATCTCCATAATAGAACAGACCCCCTCCAATTAAGTATAATTGTCAGATAATTTATGTTCTGCTCAATAATAACAAAAACTTGCATTTATATAGCACCCCTCATTCAGGGTAGCACCCTAGAGCACTTGAAGGGTAAATGTGAAAAGGTACCTATAAAGGTAAGTGCTTCACATGAAGTCAATGTAATTTTTAAAAAGTTGTAAGTGAGGGACTCAATGATTTACTTATTGAATTTTAGTAATGTTTTTAAGGAAGCTTTGATTACTTCTTATGTGAATGATAAAATCCTGTTGAAAAGCCCAAAATATGTCATTTTTCTGTTTTACTGGACACCCATATATACTGCATATAGTCTATTCCCCAATTTTATCCAGTGTTCTTCCCATTAACTTCCCTTCTCAGGATAAAAAAATGCACCCCTTACCTCTTGGTACTCTTTGCCTAAATCCCTCTGCCTTGCCTCTTCTCTCTATTTACCTATCTTGAAAGCCCATCTGAAAACTTACCTCTTTGTCTGCAACTTTGGTCACCTCCCCTCATTCGGCATCCAAACCCGCTACTGTACAATGCACTGAGACATTATCCTATGTGAAGGGAACTATATTAATGCAAGTTGTTGTTGTTCACTTTCCAGTTAATTGTGCATGATCAGACAGTTCATTTTCCTGCTCAGATAAAAACTCACTATTATGTTATCAACCAGAGTTACCTTAATGTAACCAGATAGCTGTGCTACTCCTCTCATCCTAACAAAGCCTTCAGAGCTGAGCAGAAGGGCAGCACGGTGGCTGGAAGTTACTTATTAAAGAGAGTTTTCAAATCAAGTCCTCCTTAGAATAAAGAAGATAATAATAATCGTTGTATTTGATATAGCACTTATTATATTGTCAAGATGTCTCAAAGCGCTTCACAGGATGTTACTATACTGTGAAGTATATTGACTGTATTTGTAGGTAAACACAGCAGCCAATTTGCACACAGCAATGTCCACAAACAGATATTGAAGCAAGCTGAGGTCCAGTCAAACAGAGTGTGGTAGATAATCAAGGTTGAGAGAACATTGTTCCACTAAAATGTAAGGCAGAGATGAAAGCTATTTAACCCACTGTGCTGTGGTGACTCCCTCAAAAGCAATCTTTTCAATGCTACTTTTTTCCCATACTCTTGTACCTGACTCTTGTAAAGGTATTTTTCCAGTTTCCGCTTGAAGGCCAAAATGGGTTCTGCCTCAACTACCATTCCTTACATGGCATTCCACTTTCTGCCTACTCTGCGTGTGAACAAGATTCTCCTAACCTCCCCAAATGCTCATTTACTAACTATCTTAAATTGACGCCTTCTAGTTACTGACTCTAGTTATTGCCACTATCAATGACAATAATTTCTCTCTAATGACTCTGTTAAAACCCATCATAATTTTAAAGACATCTATCAGGTCAGTCCTCATTCTTCTTTGTTCTATCAGAAAAAGTCCTAGTCCCTGCAGTCTCCACTCATAGGTCAAACCATTCATCCCTGGTATCATCAAAGTCAATCTCCTCTGCACCCACTCGACAGGAGGAGTTCTATAGCTCAGTGGCAGAGCACTGACCTCGCAAGCGAGAAACCTGAGTTCCATTCTCAGCAGGGCAAAACCTTGGCCAAGTTTCCTGAAAATTATCCACACACCTGAAAATTATCCCTCAAGAGAAAAAAACAATTTTTTGTTGGTCACTTCAATCTATAACTGTTTATGGGACACTGCTGTGCGCAATTGGCTGCCACGTTTTGACAACAACTATACAGTCAATTCAGTTTATAGTATATTCTGCGAAGCCCTTTGAGACATCTAGAAGATGTGAAAAGCTATATCAAGGTGCAAGGATTATTATTTAGTTTTAATTGCCTTGACATCTTTATTAAAGTGCAGTGACCAACACTAATTACAATATTCTAATTGTCATCTAACTAATGATTTATACAAGTTGAGCATTATATTTTATTTCATGAATATATGTTTTTTACAAAATTACAGAGTAATGCTGTTTGATCCATCAAATCCATTCTCTCCATGATAGCAACAAATGAGCCCATTATGGTTTCTACCCAATCTATTCAATCTCCTGAAGGAGGCAAAAAGTCATTGGTAAAACTAGACATCACTTTCCCAAACAGTAACACACAAATCTTCAGGATATGTAACCAACATTACAACCCACAATTGTAATTGAAGCCAATTGCATTCCACAACACAGCAATTATCCCATGGCATTATTCAAAAAGAGAAGGGAGTTTCCCCTAGTGTCCTGGCCAATAATCCCCCAAATGAAATTGGTCACTCATTCCATGGCTATTTGTGGGACATTGCTGTGTCCAACCAGCTGCCGAGTTTCGCCCACAAAATACAGTCAATCCATTATACAATATATCCCATGAAGCGCTTTGAGACAGCTCAATGATGTGATAAGGTGCTATATCAAATGCAAGGATTAGTTTTATCATTGTCTTTTGTAGCATATTTGGTCAGCCATCTCTATCATTAGTGAGGGGTGAATTCCTAGATTTTTCCAAAGTCAGAACGCACTACAGAAATAGCTGTCCTTTGCAATAGGTTTCAATGTGGCTTTAAAGAAATCACAATGATTTTTTGATCATTTTAAGGAAATAACAAAAAGGCATGAATTGGTAAGCTTGTTCCGTTAAATGTAGGCATATTGTTGGCAACAACAATTTGCACTTAAATTGCACATTTAATTTTGGTAGAATGTTTCAATCACCTTGCAAAGATTGTACAGGAGCCCAAACTATAACAACACAACAACTTGTGTTATACAGCGCTCTTCACATGAATAGCATCTCGGAACTCTTAACAGTGGTGGAGGTTGATGCTGATTCAGAGACAGAAGGCACTTGACTGTAGGCACAATCATAGAGGAAGGTCTTTGGGTGATCTGAAGATGGATAAGGTAGGGGGAATGTGGAAGGATTGAGGCAATGAATTCCAGAGTCTCAAGACATAATGGCTGAAAATATAGCCACTGATGGGTGAGTGGATGGGGCAGGGGTTGTGCAGGAGACTAGAGCCAACTGAGTGAAGGAGATGGAAAGATGAGTAAGCAGGTCAGATAGAGAGAGAGGTGCCAGGGTATGAAGTGATTTCTATGTAAGTGTGAGGATCTTGAAATTGAT